ATGACCACTAAAATATTGGATCCATAGACATACACAAGAAATCTATACTCTATCATTGTACCGATGTGCGCGCCGAATGGTAAAACAAAATGACACAGTTATGCAAACCATATAAACACGGCATTGAGTATCCTTTGAAGAAATATCCTCCATAATCTTACCTATGCCGTGAGCAATTTAGATTCGATATAATTGATGTTGAAATAACAATATATAGAAATGCCAACTTCTACGTAAATCGCACATTAAATATTTTATGAGCACAGCTTAGCATTTATTTATATGTTTGCAATAATGAAATCCGCCAAAAAACAGACGTATTGACGGCGGCGTGCATTCAATAATTATTTTGGTACACTTTTAAGTAATACACGCACACACAAACACATTCATATGTACGTAAGTACATGTGTGTATATGTCCCAGCATGGATGTTAGGTGTGCAGAAATTGCACACATGCGGTATTATTAAATTATTTTCACACTTACATTTATTCACTCACAAGTCAATAGCATGCAACAATAAGCTTTTTAGTTTCTTTTAAATTAAGTGATAAGATAAAATTAAATTATCATTTTGATTTTGTCACAACAAACCGAACTAGTTAGTTGAAATGGAACGAGTTTGTTTTCACAGTGTTGATTCGTCTTATGTTTCCACTAACTGCGTTTAGTGTTTGACTTATCGATAGGCAACAAAATTTATTTGACATATATAAATTGCTTATCAAAATGGAAATCTATATATATTTATGTATATTTATATATTATATATTTTTTTGAAATAATTTTTCTAGTTTATCATATAATTTTGTTGACCATTGTGACTATTTCTTAAGTATTCGATTATTGTTTTAATTGAAAAAAATCCTTAGCAATGAAGAATAAAAAACTAATTGTAAATTGACAAAAAATTATTGCATATGTTGGGGACATATTTTCGGATATCGATAACTTTCTTTGTATTTCTATTCGTGCGAAGAGAATACTTGCGAAAATTAAAATGATCTACATACAATTTATCGATAAATTTGACATGGAAAAACGTTGGCTATGGAAAAACGATATATTTATACTTACATGTTTAAAAAAATTTCATTAGATATCCGACCGCCTTATTTAAGTAAGTAAAATGATTTACTAGTAGTCGCTAGACTTTTTCAGATATATTTATTTAACTTGCACACATATAAAATTACATTAAACATTTGAAATATGAAATATAAACCAAGACTCAATCCCGGATATATGTATTTAAATGAATTAGTCATTCAAACGTGAGTCAAAGTCAACTGTGAGTACCTTACTATTATTATTAACCATGCTTTTGTTGAGCTCCACTAATCGTGGCTTTTCCTGTGAGGCAGCTGCAGCTGCTTGGTTTTTGGGTCCAACCATGAAGTATGTTCGAACCCGCGGCTTCTCGTGTTTTATCGACCTGTCGAGAAACTTGCTGCTGCCCAGCGTCCTGTTGTTGCTGTTGGCATTCATGGAGGTGGGCTTTGCTTTAATCTGCCACTTCGTTATATTCGGCCGAAGACTGGCCGGTATCATGTGAGACTTAAGCTCCACCTCCTTTGTATTAAATATCTCACAGTCGACTTGCATCATCATAATGTCGCCATTCGGCGACGGTTCACCAGTTGGTAACAACAACGACATTTTGGGGCGAGAACTCTTGTTGTATGTGGAGGGCGATAGAAGTATGTGATCTGTATTCAATGAGAGAACATAAAATGTATCCTCTTGTCGTTTGATTCCCTTGAATAGATGAATCGGTTCGCTTGTGTTAAGAGTGTTTTTGCTATTTAAATCAATTTTCCGTTGCTTCTGTTCAATATCCGGTATCGTTTCCTTAAAGCCCAAAAAGCTTTTACGTTTGCCAAGTGTCGCAGTTTCTCTTGCCATATCGGGTAATTCCAAATAGTCTGTCGAAAACTTAAAGCCATGTGCGTTATCCCGGTCAATGTTATATTTTGAATTCATGCCCAATTTGTGATATCCACTCGTATTAATCAGTTTTTCCAAATTTAATGCCAACCGCGAGTACTCCGACTGGTTGACACTAGAGTTAGCACAAGAACCATTACATTTAGCTGAGGAAGGGTAGGTCAAGGGTGGCGGATCATTTGCTCTATTAAACCGAGACGGCTGTGTGGCATTCCAATGGTCGTTTTTCGTAACATTGGGGCCACGACTAATCGGCCGTAGAAAGTGTAATGGTGGAGGAGCTATTGCCTCAGCTGGACGATTGCTTTGGTTCAGCTTTTCGTTGTACTCCTCTTCCGTATCGACCCAAAGCAGACGACGGCCTATCGGAACGGGTTCGTTCACATTCGAGTCGCTCGTGACGGCGGCTGTATTTTCTGCCTCCAGATTCTGTTTGCTTAGGTATGATTGAAAGTTTCCGGCATTCAATGTGACCATGAAAGCCATCGCAAACAGCACGGCGATATTTTTCTTAACCGTCGCAGCATTCATATGCTGTTTAAAGCTTTTGGTAGATGGCCTCGGAGCGATCTTAACGTGTTGATCAGTTCGCGCATTGGAGTTCAACGAATGCAAAACAAACTCACATACACTACCCTTGCGGCACTTGCATGTTTTGGCTAAAGCAACAAGCTGGTTGCGTAACGACAAGTTTTCCTGTAAGAAAAGATATTGGTTAAGTTCTGAATGAAATATACAGAGAGAGAGGAATAGCTTACCCCCTTAAGTGTATGATTTTCCTTCTCCAGATTATGCAAACGCGTTTCCAATGAGACGACATACTCCTTCTTCTTCTTGCGCGACATTGACGCCGATTGCCGATTTTTAATCATTCGCTGCTGTTTCTTGAACATCTTCTCGTCTATTGTGTTTCTGAAATGGAAATTCGATGATTCCGACTCCATGGAGGTTTCCCGCTTTAAATTGGAGTGTGGAAGTTGACTCTGATTCTTGACAATGTTGGACGGGCTTTGTGTGAGAGTTGGACATGTGGAGGCGTCAACATTTTGATGGCCTTTTATTTTAGGATTCCCTGTCTTCATTACGATCTTTGGAATATGTGTTTTGACACTGCCATTGATCTTTGCGCCCTTAGAGCCATTCAAGTTAATCTTATCCATGAGCGCCTTGTAGTCATTTGTGGAGAGGAATATGGTTTTGGTTTTGCCGACGTTCTCCGTTGCTGCCTCAGCTATAATCCTTTCTCGAGTCGGCTTCTGGGCCTTGGCAGGGAGGCTCGCATTCACATTGACAGGAATGAGCCCTGTGACGATTGGTGCACTTTTCACCTCCAAAGTGGTTTGCAAAACCACAGCCGAGTTGTTGACGGACTTGCCAATAATCTCCTGATTATTGAGAACTGATGCGGCAAATTGTGGCTTTTGCAAACTCTTTTGAATACTGTCTTCATTTCGATTGGTAAAGCTTTGCGCAAATGGTACTGGAAACTGCGTCACATTAAATGAGGCAGGCGCCATATGACTTTGTTCTTGTTGCCTGTTCTGCCACGCATCGGAGGTGTCGCTGTGGACGCCACTTGTTGAACTGCCACTAAAGCTGCCACAGCTGTCCGTTGGCGAAGGAGTATCGCGATCTTGAATGTGCTCCAACAGATTACCGCTCGTTAATTTCTCAATTTCTGCATTATCTTCACAGATATTGATCAAATTGCTGGAAGCATCCATTGAGGATGCCAACGATGTTCGGTCGACATTCCAACTCTGTGTTGTTGTCGTCGATAGGTTGTCGAAGTTAAGCTCCAAATCATTATGGCTATCTGTTGTCGACTGAAACAAATCGGAGAACAGATTATCGTTGTTCATTGAAGTACCACGATCTTGCGGCAGGAAGGTATTAAGGTCCAAAGAAGAATCCAGGTGCGAGACAGTTGAGCTTATTATCTCGTCAAAATCATGATTTATGTCATAGTCACTTGGAGATGACATAAAGGACGACAGTTCGTCTAAAATAAAATAATTATATTAAATGAATTAAAAAAAATCCATAAATACATAACAATTTTATAAATGTTTTATTTTTAATTTTTAATGAAAATTATATAGAGCCAAGTCTTAACACATACTTATATGTATGCATTTCTACGTGAACCTAATGTCTACTTAGGTTTCACATTCTTACATATGTATGCCCACAAAACAGTAATGAAGTCTTATTTAACTACGCCCACTGGCTCATGGCAAATTAAGAAAATCGATATTTTTGCACCAATAATTTTGCCGGTTCATTTCATGCTCTAATTGGATTTATAAAAATATTTAAAATTGCTATTCAGTTTGCCACAGAACGCAAATTAGATGTATGCCGATATTTTTGTTTATCAATCAAAATGCATGTTCATGCACATATACATGTGTATAAATATGTAGGTAACTGTAATTAATGTATATTCATGTATATGCATGCATGTGCATTTGTAGGCGTGTTTTTCATGATACGTAGTAGTATTTGTCATCACGTTCACACACGTTGCGATCGGATTTGACCAAGGTTTTAGAATGTTATCACATTTTAATGTTATCTTTAATTCTAAGTTATCAATAAAAGTAAACTCAATGAACTCACAAAAAAAAAAAAAAAACACAACTTTTAATGCAAGCGACACATTAATGTAAAACAACACCATTATTGAATGCACATTAGGTTCATATATTAAATGCATTGATTCACTGTCCCACGCTAACCTGATTAAATACGATTTTGTATTTATTACAGGTGAATGGTGTCAGTGTGTAGCATTTCATTGAACGCAGTTTTATCAAACACTGACGAAAACTTACCATAAAAACTGTCGTCCACGTCCATTTCATTTACAATTGTTTAGAATTGTTATTAATAAAACTTTTTGTTTTTATACATTCTCATATTAAACCGAAAACCGTATTCCTTATGGAATATTCAAGCAATTTGTTGACGAAAGCAAAATGGGATTGTTGATGACACTATAGCTGTAAAAATATCATATAGAAATAATCGATGCTATCGATGGCTGCGTTTACCGATACCAATTCATCAGGAGTTGCGTTCATTTCCATTTGATGCGTCGTTTTATGAGTTCTTTTTAACGATATTCAGACATTTTCATATATTAATCGATTTCAGATGGCTAAAACATATGAAAATAAGCCTATTTATTATGAAATGCGCTATTATTTATTTATTTCATGGACAGCTAATAAAAGTCCAATTCTGGTAGCACTGACTTTATTAATTTTCTTTGATATATCACTAAAAAATTCTACTCACTTGGCTTTCAAAATTCTAATCTATTATTATTTTCAGATGATTCAATAAAAAGGATGCCAGGCGCAGAAAAAAAGGATTCGGAGTTCCCCTTCCTCAGAAAATGATGGATACGTACATAATTCAACACAATATTTGTCAAATATATACATATTTTTTATTGATTTTAATAAAATCAAATTAAATGTTTTTTATTGCTTCCCAACCCTTTTAACAGTTTTAGAAAAAATAATACAATTCTCATAACAACATAACCATAATTATTTGAACATAATTAATGAATTATTTTCGTGACACGTTATATTAAGGATAGAAGATTAATTAATTCTGAGTCAAACTTAAAAAAATAATAATTTTAGTATTCAATTCATAGATACTGAACATTTGCATGGTATTCAAAATAAACTTGACCTTTCTGAAGAAATTTGTGTAAAAGAACTAATGTAAGCAATGCAATACGGACTTACAGTAGTATATTCAATATTAATTATAAAAAAAAAGAAACTTGAAATAGACGTAGCACGCGTTGACCTTTCCGCTTCAGCTTAGACCACGAAACGATGCACATGACTTGGATTAAAGGATGGACGGTGACCCTCGCTATTACTATTCCTAGAAATATCAATTTCAGTGGTAGGACCAGGCGTCGCTCTCGCATGGACTAAAGGAGTTTTAATTGCCCGTCGATGACCACGTTTACCCTACGATAAAAGAATTTTGATTATTAAATGATAGCCGAAAATTGTAGCTTATATAACTCGCTTACCTGACGAACTTTTTGGTTACGTGACTCCGCAATGAGATTATCAGAAACCTGAAACAAGCTCTCGCCCCGTGTAATCAGAACGTTCGTTAAGCGACAGCACAATGCAGCCATTTTCACTTGTTCTGCAATGCAATTCTTATCGATCGGATGTATATAGCGTGGCGGAAAAAATGATGGAGCAATTATCGTGGATACATTATGTAAATTCATCTTATTGAAATCTTTCAAATCGATAATTATGTTGAGAAAGCGTAAAATGGAACGCAGAGTGTTGCGGTTTTCGTGTGGAAGCATCTGGCATAAAATAGATAATGCACGTATTTGGTCCGCTGGGGGTAATGTGTGACATTGATAGAAAAGTTGTATAAGTTCGCTTGTCAGCAATGGCTGGGGCAGTTCGCGTAACCAACGCTTAAGCAATGCACTTAGTTCATGTACGCTTGCATTGCTAAGCAACTGTGCGAATTTTTCTGGCTTTTGATAAAAACTTGATTCTAATTCGTTGTAAATTAATTCAGTCTGCAAATATACAAAAACATTAATTAGTATTAAATAAAACCGATATTAGAATTACTTTTTGTCAATCACCTTATGTTTTTGTCCAGCCACACGCAAAATGCCCTCCTCTCGTGCCCCTCGTTTAATTAGCTCTTCCAGTAGACCCTCGAGAAATCGAGGTACTAATGTTGAGTCCATGCCAGATATTTGCTGGTCACGCCGTATAAGTGCATTTAATGAAACTCCAAACAGGCTGCCCTCCTCCTTGCGACGTCTTTTGAATGGTTTTCGCTTGTCTAGCGAAACCTGATTGCGATCAAAGACTGTGGCTAGCTCTAGCCAAAATATTGGCTGTAAACGTTTCAGCTCCGTTTCACTTATTGTACTGATGTCGGAGGTGTATTCTTGTAAGCTGACATTATTGCTGTCTACGGTGTCAATGCCATCCTGACTAGAATTTTCTCGGCACATATTTTCAAAGCTGATGCCCTCTCTTGCTGACGGAGAGCTGCTGTGTAACTTTTGCTGAGTAGAATCCAGGTTTATTTTGTTTAGTATCTTCTCAGGTGAGGACAATGCCGATGACATTGGCGCTGTGCTTGGAAGAAACTCGTCGCTGGAATCACCAGATGAAGTATTGTTTTCACTCTGCGAATCCGGTATATTTTGTCCACAAACTCGTCTAAATTGTGTAAAATAATTCAATTATATATAAGAGCTTCGGCAACTCAATTAATACATACCCAATAGAACAAGATGGATCAGAACCAGAACGATTACGTGGTATGTGCAGCGTGCCAATACGCGAAAATCCAAGCAACTCTATACCTTCTGATGTATACATGGGTATATCGCAGCGCACTTGCGAGCCGCGAAACAAATCCGTGGACGTGGCACTTTTTAGCGGAGCACTTGGAGTTCGGCGTATTTTCTGCTTTAAATGCTTGTTGACCGAAGGAAATGCGTTGGCATTATAATTTGCTGTACTGTGGTCCGAAATGCTTACAAAACTTGGACTACAAAATGTGAGACAATGAAATAAACTGAAATTCACTTGAAGTGGTATCAGAACTTACATTGAGGCATTGCCCCAAACTTCGTCACCGTGTACGGAATCTAATGAATCTGGTGTGGCACTTCGGGATCTAGTTCCCGTACTGGACTCCTGTGAAGACAATCGATATTTATAATTAACTCCATTTTTGTTTAATTAATTAGTTCAATATTTACGTCAAAATCGCGAAAGACGTCACGTATGTCAGGTTTACGTTTTGATCGGTTTTTACTACGTCCTCTGACAGTATGATTGAGCGCTCGCACGCGCTGCTTGATCGCCTCGGCATGAGGTCTTGATAGTGTGGCTAACACGGGCTCAAGATCTGTGGAACGCAGCTCAATGCCCTGGGAATAAATAGGAATTTTATAAGTAACATAATACGATTGCTGGCAGTAAAAAAAATTTAAAATAAACTTTTGCATTTAAAACAAAAGAAGATACTCTTGTAATAATATATTTACAAATAAACTACTCTTGGCTTTTCGCTAACAATAATAATTTTATAAATATACAAATTGTCGAGCAAATATGTATATATACCTGACTTTATTCTCTAATATCTACATTAAACAAGGCTGTGTTTGTTTTATTTTTAATTTTTGTTTAGTAATTTTGCTTACCTGTTCAAAGGGTCGTGTCAATTCTGGATATCCAGCTGAAATTAACCACTCTGCTTCCATTTCTCCATCTAAATAAGATATAGTATATCGGTAATATTTATATTAATATAGGTAGAATTACAAAATTGGATGTTTGCTTACCTTCGTAATGTATTTCCGGTTCGTTGCATGCTAAATTTGTGTGCAACAGATATTCATTGAGAAATTCCGTATAATCTTGATCGCATGTGTTGTCCATAGAGTTATTGTTATGATTGTTATGATTGTTGTTCATCTTGATGGTTTATATATTTTGAAAATATGGCATACTGTTTAATTAATCACAAAGCAAGGAAAGGACGGATCTCCGCATTACAAACTATATATATACATAAATATATATATAATTTAGCTTGCTATATCACTGCAAATATATAGAAAATATATGAGATATATAAAACCAGTCAGATAAGAAAAGAGTAAAAGAATTCCCTTTCTTGCGTTTACATTATATATATCCGTTATTGATAAATGTTTTTTGTATATCTGAAGAGTAAAATATATTTGCTTGTTTGTTAATAAATCAAGAAATCTTATTCTTAATTCATGATTCATCATCTCTTATAAGAAATAAATTAATCATTTTGAAAATGAGCACATACAAATTTACAAATTATACTTAACTATATATTCCTATATAAAATTTATAATATTTAGTTTGAAAGCATGTCTTAAGATAAATATGTGGAGTATTAGTTCAGAGAGTCATAAAATGTATAATTTATTGCTCTTAAGGAGATAATAATAATGTTTTTATTTTATTTTTTATTACTGAACCGGATAGGATTTTGCCTATATAGATACTTTCTAGATAAACATTGAGAAGAACAGCCTTAACTGCGTAATACACATTTTACAATGTTGTTGAGGTCTGCTTTACTCTCTTATCTTATTCTTATTATATGTACATATATATGTATGTATATAAGTTGGTTTTAAACTATATCTTTTGAAGTGTAACTTGTAGAACTGTTTATTTTGCTCTCGAGGCGTTGCCATTTAGATTTGTTTATGTATTTTGTAAGGACCATCTAGCTAGCGACCATATGATATGGTGATCGATATGAGGGACCATATTCAACTAAGCAAATAGACACTATACATGTATATATGTATGTTTAAAAAGTCGTACACTCAGAATCGTAGTAACTCAATAAATGTGAATATATGGCGTCTATAGAAAACACAAGCACAGCAGCTGTATAAAGTGCGCAGTAGAATGCATTGAAGAGAACTACGAGAATGCTATAAACACTGGGTAGGGTACCCTACCTTGCAGACACTCCCGACTGTGAGCAGTCTTACCTGTGGCAGTATATTGTATGCTTGGCAGTGCAGGTGAAAGAATGCTACCAAGAGAACTGCGAATATGTCTCCGATTTTAAACGAAAAAATTCTTATTGAGATATCTAGTAATGTAGCGCAAGTTATTTTCCAAACACAGTCAGACGTTATAATAACCGTGGCTTATTCCAAAGCAAGACTAATCGAATTTATAATTCTCCGCCAACTTGTAGCTGATCGAGACAATTATCGAGTGTAATTGTTAAGTCGTAGGTAGGTAGGGTATGTGCTACGCATTTATAGTGCGGATTTGGTTTTCGATCATTTATGCAAATACCAAAGTCTATATGTGGGAAGCAATTGTTGTTGGCACCACTAGAATACAGCGAGGCATAAATAAGCTTCATCCATTCTAAGCTGGCTAAGACGCATTTCTTGATGACGGAAAGCTTTTTTGATTGACGTTCTTTGTCAAATCGGCGATTTATTCAATTGGCATTTGAATGAGTTTATTTGGAAACATCTTACTGGAACATGCATTTCTTATTGGCTTCTTTTCTTATTAAGAAATTCACGCAGAGTTCAGCGGAAAATATAAGAGTCACCGAACATCTTGATCTTTGTTGCAAATCAAATTTATCCTGATGTCACCGAAAAACAAAGATTACGGAAGACCTGAAAGCTAAAAAGATTTAACAAAGAGTGACACACATTCATGCAAGCATACGTACACATGTACACAAATACATATGTACATATGCATAACCAATTTTATCGTGTTCATATTTGTTCGATTTGACTTTTAACATATTTATCTAGACATACATAGCAACAAATGTACCATAAATTATGTTCATGTACTTAGGCACCCATACATACATATATACATACGTACGACTAAGGAGTTGCTTTAAAAAGTTATCTCTACATGTATTAGCACACATACGTATGTATATATGCATAACAATACGCATTCATTTAAGTGTGTTAAGCGATAAATTTGTTTGCTCAATGGGTTAAAAAATGTATATATATGTATATATAGATACATACATACATATTCATGTTTTTTTAAGCTTGGTATTATGTATTATTAATATATATACATACAGGTATTGAAATGCGGACATAGGTATAAAGATACAAACGTATGTAATGTTTTATTTATTTATATATGTATATACATACATAAAAACGGCCATATTCACATAGTGCATGTGTATGTGTATGTCTATTCACATACACTGCACACACATATACATATTTACGCAGTGGAGAGAGTGAAATGTTTGTATATATTTACCTACATATTTAAGTATGAGTAATTAAATGCATAACTTTAAATATATATGTATCTATATACTTACAGACAAAACGCCCAAATGTTTATAAAACAGCACTGAACAAATTTTAAAAATAGCAGGTTCAGCTATGGAGTTGCATACATGTACACATTTACATACATACATACATTTATATATGTATGTTTATGCAAAAAAGGGAAATCATCACATTCGTTTAATTATATGTATTAGTTTTCTTTCACTTCCTATGTACGTAACTTGTTGCACTTGTTTTTTTTTTCTCTTCTAGCAATAACAATTTCATATGCACAAATTCAAATGTATTTTTAATTAGATATTTTGAGTGTACAAATTGAAGTAATTTTTAGGTAGGTAAATATTTTTGTGTTTGAGCATATATATGTGTATGGGTGTGTGTACATGCACTGTAAATAGCTGTATGTGTGTAATGAATATTATAATTGTTACGTACATATGAATGTAAACAAGTATGTTATTAGAATCCGTATTCATACAACATATCAAACCGAAAATTGAAAATGAACTGATATACTTAAGAACGAACAACTTCAACTTCACACATACACGTCTCTTGCTCTCTATATATAAAAATTAATGATTGTATATGAATAGTAAGTGAGTGTATGCATACGAACGTATGCAAGTGTATATGTGCATGTGTATTTGTGTTGACAAGATCAGGTTTGAGTTGAAGCGTGAGCAACAGGCTTGCATGCATGTAAGCACGATTTGATACCGACAAAATTGTCCAAATCACTTTAGTACACGAAGTTGCGATGGCGCATCGAGTTATCGGTTTTTGTCAATAGAAATCTTTAATAAAATAAACATTTACATTTATTAAGTTAAATATATATCTTATCAAATTAATTTTGTTATTCAATAGCAAAAATAAATAAGTTCATTTCAATTTGTTTTTAATATATAAATTAATTTTTTATGACTTCACTGAGAAGTTATCGGAAGTCTAACACATGTATTATATGGTTACCTGAGTGATGCAAGTGTATATATATTTAAAAAAAAAAACCTCTTTATTATTTATATATAATATTTATATGTTTATAGCTATGTACAACGTACTATATACACCGTATTATATTATTTATCTTTTATATGAAAATAAAATATTTTATATATATTATTAATACTTTTATTTATAAAGAAAGGCTCTGAAAGAATAATTTACTCCTTGAATGCGTGTCCTTAAGAGTAAAATAAAAAATAAAAATAATAAACAAGTCGTAATCAGTGAGACATAAGCCGATTAAAAATTGGTAATTAAAATTACAGTTATATGAGGGACAAGAATGCAATTTTTGTGTATGTATATTCTCAAAGTCCTTATTACGATTTATCGCACGACAAACTATCGTCTTAAATTTTTCGAGTTATGCGTAAAAAGTCTGTTTCTTACATTTTGTTATCGAACTAGGAGAATGGAATGAAGAATCGAATGTTGATGATTATGCGATCAGCGAAAATATGAAAAATATTCAATTTTAGATCTGTTATGCTGACCGATGTTGGAATACTTATAACCACTAATTTAAATGTAACTAAATATTAAAAATATCTCAATATTAATTCGACTAGGGTATTATGAGGATGTATTTAGACTTATAATTATTTGCACCATAGCAACATGATGCGCAACTCATATATAAGTAAAAGTATCGTATACAAAATGTATCTCAACTTTTAACCAGGGCAACATTTGGTGCTGCCACTTAGTCGCATACTATAGTTATCGCTCAAACATATCGGGCAATCGATACGCATGTTATTATTCAGTTATTTACAACTCACCACGAAAGACTTCAATGGCAAACAAGTTCTGCAGTTATTTACAATTTTCCGTTCATAGTAAAACTCAGCGCGCTTCTTTATTTCTTTTGGACGCGTTTCTGTACGTTTCGTGAGTTTTACATACATATTAGCGCAACATAAATGATGAATTTGTGTCACTTAAATTAAATACATTCATGCATTTATAGATGCGTGTGCATACATATAAGTTTGTGCGTAATTAATTGATACTATTGTGCCACCAGTGTCGTATGCAACTATACATATAAACAAATCGTAAGGTACATAAATACATGCATACATAGAGATGTCACATAAACAAAATATATGTATGTTGGTACATATAAACAAAGTGGGCATACAAACAAATTGAATGAGTGTAAAATGCTAAGTGAGCTCAATTTTTTTGAGTATTCGGATACACACATGCATACATACATATGCATGTATAAACAAAGCCAATTTTATGCTACGAAAGGTACATGCGTATGTGTGGTATGTATGTATGTATATGTATACTGAAACATACATTTGTATGTTTACCACTTTCTCAGACAGCTCAAGAACGGTTTTATATACATGAATGCATACACACATATACATTTACATTTACTCATGCGTATGCGTGTATACATGAGCAAGCACGCATCTTTTCCTACCGTAAACAAGTCGCACTGTTAGTTAATATACACACACACACAGATACAGGCACGTACACAAGTGTATTTGAGTGTGTGTAATTTCTTCAGATATCTGGAGCAGCGCCATCGGAGAGTGTTTAGCACTCAAACATACTTAAAATATAAGAGTAGTATATACAGTTGTATGTCAGGCATGTGTGTCAAGCAAATCATACAGCAGCAGCAGCAAAAGTAGCAGCAGCAGCAGTTGATGCTTGCAGCGACCAATTACAAATTATGGTAACAAAACGTATACATACAGACAGACAGACGGGCAGACATACAGCTAGATATATGTACATGCGTACAATTTGTTACCACAATGAATGTATGCATGCGTGTTTATATGCATGTGTGTATGTGTATGTATGTATGTATGTGTGTGTGTGTGTTCGTCTGTTTTTTAAAGAAGGGTGTGTGTTTCCATTGCATTTAATTATGAAAATAACCGTGACCACATCGATCTGAAAATGAAAGGATTTTATCGTAAAAATTTACATACAAATAGCTAAGTTCATACCTACATACATTCAGGGCAGTTTGACCAGATTTATGGTAATATATACCAAAAAAATTTATACATATGTATTTGTGGAAAATTGATTAGATGCATGCACATATACGCATGTCTCTGTATTGTTAAAGTCTCTTTGTGTGTGTGTGTCTGTGTGTAATAGCCACCGGGATGTAATACATGCATATATACGTATACTGTACATACATATATAATATATAATTGGGCTCCTATCCACCTCTGTGGCGGCAAAAGTAGAAAGGAGCAGGCAATTTACTCTATGTATGTATGTATTTACCGGTACTAATTGAAAATTAGTGTTACAAAAGGAATCTTTTTGATTTTGTGCGAATGTGCGTCACAGGTAGACGGAAGCATCTGTGCGGTCTTTGGGCATATAGTATCTTTCTACCTGTCTGTGTGTACCTATACATATGCCAATATACATTAATCTAAGCCACAATGAAGCTGAAAGAATTATAGCATTTAAGTCATTGCTGCGCCATGCATTAGCTTATTTGAATTTATCGCTAGTCGATTTCCTTTCGAAATAATAATCGATTTGTTTTTAAATTAAAATTCGGTTTATTTTATTTGGCAATTATTTTTTTAAATATACATGTAATATTTATAATTTATCATTTTTTTATATTATTATTTTAATTTTAATTTTTTAATATTAATTTCATTTAATAATAATATTAATTTCAATAATAAATTTGAATTTTTTTTTTATTGTTAATATATTAGTCTAAATACTTTTTATAAATATTTGAATTTTCTATTACATTTTTAATGTTAAACTTCTGATTTGTCTAAATTAAAATGAAATTGAATTACATCTGCCTCAGTCAATCCACATTCTTTCTTATAAAATGCGCTCTACAATTTAAGCCCACTACCAATTTAAACGCTCGACAGTCAGTAACAGTATATTTAGAGTTTTCAATCAACAAAGCCTACGACATAAGTTAAGTCGTTCAACTCTAAGATAGCTGCAATTTTAAACGTAGAATCGGAGTTAAATACATCAGTTTATATCTTTGCATACCTAAACGACAATGTGACGAGACTAATTCATATCTGACCTACAATTCATGTAAATAGACAGACTAATTCATGTAAATAGACAGACTAAGACTTGTACATTTCATATACATTTAGTTTTTACTCAGAGAATCTGGGAGCAGACAGAATAGATTAGAAAGCACATTCTTACTATACATTAAGTTGGTCTGATAACAGAGATTTGTAGCCGTCGCTTTCTCTTAACCTGCATTAGCCATTGAGGTTCACGGCTATTTAGTAATACGATGCATAAATAAGGAAAGCGATAGATATGATTTTCCTCTTGTTGCTTATCGATATTGCTGCGGAAAATTAATCGATGGAAATGAATAACTATTGCTACAGTGAGCTCAGCTTGTTGCGCAATCGAGATTCAACTCTTTCTCCAATAAGGATGCAGTGAGGAAGGCGAATGGCGACAAAAGCTTGCGCAGTAGAAAGAACTAGAGAGGACTAGAACGAAAGTTTTAATTTAATAATATATCTTTTTTGAAAATCAAATAAAAACAATATTACAAATGATATTCATTTAATATTAATATATAAAAAAAAAAAACTAAAATTAATATAATATAATATATATAAAAAAAAAGAAATTAAAAGCTAAAAACTAATAATGTTTTTCTCTTTTCAGATGCCTTCGATTGTAAGTGGCGCGAACTGAAAGAGAGCAAGCATTAATGGAAAAGGAGAGATGCGATTATTGTCCAATCATTAGGAACGAAGCAATGCTAAATCTAAACGTTTTAAAGCAATAATAAAAGAAATCTGAAAATGTTTAAAACCAATCAAATTAATGATCCATTACTGACATCTATAATACAAGAATTCGCCATATAATTTCAATAACATTGAATAACGGGATCAGTGGACAACCAAGAAGAAGAAGAAGAAGAAGAACTGTCAATATTTGTTGTAATTCAATTATCAGTAAATTTGATTGCAACACAAAAAGATGTCAGTCATAGAGAGGAAACAGTTTCTTCTGTGGGCAATTATCATGACTTTTGTGCTGCTGTCTGTGACAGGTCTGGATGCCGTCTCTGGCTTGCAAGGCGCTCCAACATGGATGTAAGTATTCAACAATATATCTGTATAGGAAATATATAAAATATGTACATACATCACACATACATACATACATACATATGTGTATATGCAGCTGAATATTGCAGTCATCAAACGGTGTATTGTCTATTCAAATTTTCATTAGGAGTTAGGATAATTAATTAATAAGGCTGCAGCGAATAGAATGTTGTGTGTTGTGTCTTATAGTACTTAACTATAAATATTTATACGATCAAATTAAATATTATATCATATATAACAAGCATATTCCAATATCCAATATCCATATCGTAGAGCACCTTTGCTTAAACACGCATTCTTCTATGTAATTCTAATAAGAATTTACTAATATAATTTCCGTATGTCACAAGCCATATCAAATTAGACTGCACACTATTCTCGTAATCCTATTGGCATCGTACATCGAGCAAATAATTCTCGTTAAAAATAGTTTGAATATTTTATTCAAGAGATGTTTATATTTATATTTTATAGTGTCGCGTTATCTCTCTGACGATTTGTTGTTCTATAAATTCGCACAATTTGCTGTTTATTAACCAAATAATGAATAGTGGCTTTCGTAGTATTTTTTTGTGCAAAGTCTGACCAAAGTTTGTTGTGCGAATTCGCATTTTATTATCTCTAAGTCTAGCACTTGACTTAAAAAATGAATTAGCTCTTCCCTTGAGACGGCAACGCAATTTATAGGAATTCCTATTCAAATGTTGTGGAATCTTAGAAATATTTACATACATGTATGTAGATGATTTATTTATACGAGGTGTGCTCAAAATAAATATAACTATATATTAATATTTAACTGGAATTCCAAACTCTTTACCTGATATCATTTGTTTAATTCTTTCATAAATTCAATATATTTTTGTAATATTTTTAAAATTGGTCACAGACTAAAAAAATCCCCCATATTCGAGTTGTTCGCTGTTTGCAACGACAAATTTCGATTTAGATTAAACCAGAGCTGTATGAATTGAGAGCCTACAAAAGGGAGAGAGATACAGAGAGAGGGTGAGAGAGAGGGAGGGAGGGAGGATGGGAGGCATGTCTATATTGTTTTGGCTGTAGCTACATATGCTACCAATCTATATACATTATAGAGGGTCAGTAATCTGTAGATTAAATACGCACTTTCTTCAAGTGTACTTTGAGGATAGTTAAGCATTCCATTCAAGCATAGAAATTGCAATGGACTTTCTGAGCTCTCAAGGGCACTCCACTTCCGGCATGCCATAGACCGATTTACTAGCATATTTTATTGTATTTTTTTTTTTTCTATTATATTCCGGATCGCTGACGCACTCGTCGTATTGATAAGCATTTTAAGTATAACTGCCTCAATCTTTGACTCACCATGTTGAGTATATTTAATATATACATATATATGTATATAATCTATGAGGCTGTAGCTATTTTCGAGTGCCATCATTTGGGGAAAAAAACTCTCGTTTCAGAGCCATGAATTAGTTGAGAATATATACTTATCGAGAGCGGTTGTACCAACTGACTGAGCATATAACAAAAATCGAAAGCTCTATTTCTATAATATATATGCACCTACTACAACAACAACAACTAGTAAAGCTGATAACATTCGAATCAACTGGAAGCTTAACTAATTAAATTTAGTTAACAGCGAGCAACGAGCATCACTTTCAATTCGATCCCAGAGATCACTTATCAAATTATATATATATATATATAGAACCTAGAGAACCTTGAACTGGAAATGTTTGTCAGTGTTGTTGTTCCGTGTTTCCTCTTGGTGTTATATTGCGTGGCACCTGTGCTCTCCGTATCCAGCACATGGGGCAATATTTCCAATTCGGCGCAATTGTTGCATGCCGAAAACGTCGTCTACACCTCGTCGCCAGAAAAATATGTCGAGCACGAAATCAAATATCCGACAAATGTGAGCAGTGATAAATTATCTCAAGAATTCACTAGTGTTAATTAAACTCGAGTCGCATGCCGTTCACTCATTCATTCATTTTCCCGCCCAATCAGACATGGATTTCTCTCAGTGTATAAACACATGCCACTTGTCTCTGTTTGCTATATTCTTTTTGTGAATTCGAACATATGTTGATAACCCCGATTTCAATTTGCAATTCGGCCAACAGTTTGACAAGTTTGCTATGTGTTCTGGCAAATTGAACCATTTAATTGGAAATAAGTTTGAAATAAATGTGAAAATGTATAGACTAACTGTATATAGCAATTTATATATATTCGCATTTCCTGTTTAGTTTAGTTTTTTATATATAGAAAGAGAACTGTAAATCGGAGAGAGCTGCGTACAATAATTAAATTTCAATAGTGCTTGAGTTTAGTCCGAAAGTTCTTGTAAATAAATAAACTTATATTTTAATGCGATTGATGTAAAATCTAAAATATTTAAAAATATATGATAAAAGTTAATAAATTGATAAAAGTAAATAGCTAGGTCTACTGCGGGCCTAACGGATATATCCTACCATGAATAGATAGAATAGATTAAACCAAAATTATCTATGCGTATACAAAGTCTTGTATATATAATATAAAATTCCTAAAATTTCCTGATGATTTTTCAAAGACTTTGGATTTTGGAAACTTCTCTTATTTAAAATATTGAAGAGCGTGCATCATAAAAGTCGTTAATAAAGAAATCTGCCATAGTAAATCTTATAAACGCAGTTTTTACGCAGCGGCTGCGCTTGTAAAGTGCGCAGTAAACGAAGCACGTGCTTATGTGTGCGTGTGAGTGTGCAAGTATGTGTGCGAAGAAGCATCGAATGGGTGGACTATCAGAGCAGAGTACTATAGTGATAGGGATATATGCATGTATATACTTCAAAGTTTAAATTGGATATAGATTTTGTATGCGGATTCATATATAATAGTTATAATTAATATATATAGGTATCTTCTCTAAGTACAAAACTTAAAAAAGTGCGTTTTATATTCACTTGAAACTAAAATCTTAAATATGCAAATGTTGCAAGAGATAACATGCTCAGCATTTTCTAAAAGGTGTGTCCCCAATGGGTTTGTTTCGTGACACTTTAAAACGCTATCCTCCACAGTTGGATAATCGAATAGGTATTCATTAGCTTGCGTCCCACATATAAGCAATAAATCTGAAGCTGCCAATTAAATGTGTTAATTGCATTAATGATGACACAAAATCAAGGGAAATTTCTTCAAATCTCGCCCACGCACTTCAATTTGCCGTTGTTATTACATATATCGAGAGTGTTAATGGAACTGTAAAGTTATCTATTTGATTAATTCCTACCATTCATACATCTAACTCAAATCATTTATTCATTCAGCTTATATCAATCTAATTGTATTTAACATAAACAAATATTCATAAAATTTATGAATCGTAAAAAAAAAAAAATTAATAAAATATGAAATCATTGCCAAAAAAAAAAAAAAAATCGCAAACTATTCAAGGAAATAGTTCAAAGCCATGAAAATGTGAGAAGTTAAATGGCAAATAAATATCTAATAAATAGAAAATAAATGAGAAATTTAAAATGTATATAATACATGAAAAAATATTCTTTAATATTCAATTTCATTGTAAAAGAAATTAAAAACTTTTTACTGTAAATATAAAATGTACAAATTAATGTACAACAAAAAATAAGCCACAAGCTAACTATTTGCAATATCCTTACATTTCAAATGGCTATACATCCATCCTTTGTACATATTCAGAAACTAATCGTATGCACGCACGTAAATCCTGTAAATAAATCGCTTGTAAAAAGAAAGTACGCTTAAATGAAATGAATGACAAATCAAAAAGGAAAACAATAAATATTTCGGTTTCCCACACAATTTAGGGAATTGGTAATGGGCGCATCATAACGGGAATACGAGCGTTCGACCAGGTGACAAACAACACGGGAGGCCATGCTACGATTTATTCTGGAGGCCCTGGTTTTAACTTTGTGAACATCAAACTACAATCGCAGTATAATTATGGCTTAATATTTCGTGTTGAAATTTATGGCAAATAAATAACAAATCAACAACATTTTTATAATAAAATATATGAAGTGTATTAAGAATTATTTGTAAAAATATTATTGGATTTTATAGTAATACTCACATAGTTTTCAATAGGTGTTAAAAAACTTGATATATTTCATATAAATTCACTAATCGAGCGCAATGCATTGACAAGTTATACATTGAATTGATTGATTAATTGACACAAATAAATACTAGATACATTAGGTGACATTATTTTAAGCGATTCTTATGCACCCCAAATTTCCACCTGAGACTTGATGGCGCCGCCACGGGCCGAAGTGAATTTGATTGTGACTGATTGGGAGCCCACACCGCCGGACGTGATTTCAGCTGTGGCGCCTCGCATCCGTTTCAGATTTGTAATGGCTATGTACTGGATGGTTTTTGGCGCAGTCGGGTCCTGTGTGAGCGTGTATGTCTTTGTTGTGGTCCCGAGCAGAGTCTTGCTTCTGTAGACGACCTCGCGGGCGATCAGCTGGCTGGCTGCTACCTTAGCACCCCAGACATAGTCGAATCCTTCGCTGCTGGTGCCGCCCAGTGCATGGGTCGTGCAGACGCAGGCGGCTGCGACAAGTATGAATGCAAGACTGATCTTCATTGTATTTGGCTTTAAAGTACGAATTGAACTGATGCTCCGTCTGGTGTTTTCCCTCACTTTTATACAACGACTTTCGAACGAGAAATCGCTGCAAACACGTGGCCTAGTTTGATAATTAAACTTTGACAGCACCTTCGAAGGTAATGGCATCATCGGCTGCATTGGCATGCCTATCCATAGATAACAGACAGACATACAGACCGCATAGATTACATGATTCCCCAAGATGTTGAAACAGCTGTAACTGTTCTTCGGCCTGATGTCTCAACCATACATAAAATAACTTGAAAAACCCGTTTATTAAAAACGAAAACTATGTTTCTGAAGGGAAAATTAATTTGTTTTCGTTCCATATTAAGCAAACACCAGCAATGCTAGATTACAAAGTCAAAAAAACAAAATCATACATATATGATATTCATTGATATTGATCTATAGATATCTCTTTGAATGTACGAATTTGCCTTGTCCAAATTTGACTTTTAAAATTAGTGAGTTTGATAAACCGTTAACTGAAAATAGTTTCCGAAAACAAAAGAGTTTTTCTCAATAAAAATTAGATAATCAATGTCGATGCTATTATACAATATATATGAATGTCTTGTGATTATGATTATCAAAATATTTAAGACTTATTAGAAATTTGTAAAATGCCTGTATAAAAGTCTACAAGAATTTCAACAAGTCTACTTTTGAATACAAAATTTAATTCTTATGCACATTTTTGATTTAAATAAAATATGAATAGAAAATATGAAGAGAATCAGTTGTAAATATACTATATAACATGAATTGGTAATGAAACCTAAGGAACTCTTATATCCTTTGGTTTAACCTCTTTGCAAAGAGTGTGATAAGTGAAATATTAGCTGCAAAGGACCTCTACCTCTTGAAGAACAAACTTCTAATTTAAGCCTGTTAAGTCTTCATAGTCTAAATATACAATAGAATCCTTTTATCAAGAGAAATATCCTAAAATGCGGTACAGGAGGTATGATATCGTATTAGTAGTTTCTCATCAATTATAAACAGCAACATTTAAGAACTTCTTTTTCCACGTTGCAGCTGTCTGGGATTACGGTCGCCATTCATTGAATTCGGCCCGCATGAAGAGGTGCTGGCAAATACGAGCATCCCACTAAATATCACCAAAGATGAACAGGCCTACATGCACCAGGAGGGCTTGCGCAAGCTGGGTACGTTCATAAAGCCGGTGGATCTGCGCGATTCGGTGACTGGCTATGTGAAGGCCGATCTGACCAAAAGACTGGACACGCCCAGCGCTCAGGCTCGGCGCGTGCATCCGATTCAGGAGGAGATGGACCAAAAGCAGATCATTCTGCTCGACGAGGATACCGATGAGAACGGTCTACCGGCCAGTCTAACGGACGAGGACCGCAAGTTCATTGTGCCCATGGCACTGAAAAATGGCTCGCCAGAGCGTTGGACTGCCCCGAACCGAGCGTCCGTGGCTGCCAGCACAATGCCGACGCGTTCTGCTTTGGCTATGGCCACGCGACGTCGCAGCACGACAGCTCAAACGAGCACAACAACGACACCCGATCCGACATCAAATATTGATGATCTGAAGAAACACATACTCTTCCTGCACAACATGACGAAGAGTGACACCAACTTTGAGTCCAAGTTTGTGAAGTTCCCAAGCCTACAGAAGGAGAAGGCAAAGCAGTCAACGGGATCGTCCGCGAGTGCCAAGCGGCCCCAGCGACCGATACTCCAGTATGCCGCTCCCATAGCTCCGCCCACACGCAAAGTACCTCAGGGAGCACACACACCGGGGCAGAAGCCGTTCGGTGGCTACTATCACAACGAGGATGAGGCAAACAGTTTCTTCCATACGATTGGCGGTGATGGTGGCACCATGGATCGCAGCAAGGAGCGTGGCAGTTTCGATACTGTGCCCCAGGTGCATCTGCTCAGTGAGGAGCAGACGACTACAGCGAAAAGCATACCCATAACAACCACGCCCTCTCCGGTGGATACAACATCGAAGCGAACTACCAAGCGTCCCGTGTGCTTGCGTAATCCCGACTCTCCCAAGTGTGTGCGTCAGCGCCAGCGCGAGGAGCAGCAGCGACAGCGTGAGCGCGACGAATGGTTTCGCGGCCAAGCCGAATTTATGCGGCCCCACTATGAGCCGGTCGTACAAACGTTAAATAATACCAAGCGCTTCGCTGTGTCCATTGAAATACCCGATTCATTTAAAATCCATCCCGGCTCGCCTCAAACAGACGATGCGTCGGAGCTGCAGATTCTGTCGCGTGTCGCACGCTCACAGCACAAACGGCGCTACGCCAGTGGCACTCAAGCAGATCAGGCTCCAATCTCAATTGAGAAGCCCTCACCGGCTGGCAATTTCTTTGCCCATGACATCATAATGACTTCTGCGGGAGTCACCAACGATCGCGAGTTTATGCTCGCCAATATGCATCAGTTCGGCATGATGGTGCCGAAGGAGCAAGACAATGATACCACACCAGCCCCCCCGGCTTATTCAGAAACTATAGACTTAAATCCTGACAACTGTTACACAGTTGAAGGCCTTACATATGGCCAGAAGAAGCTCTGCGCCTTGCACACGAGCGTTATGCCGGCGATCAGTCGGGGAGCGCGTGCAGCTATACAGGTAAGTCAATTAGAGAGCTACGTTTCGAAATACAATATTTAAATATTTCTTCATATTCCCAGGAATGCCAATTTCAATTTAAAAATCGACGTTGGAATTGCAGCACCACAGAAGATGTTTCTGTGTTTGGACCCATGACTGGCTTAGGTAAAATACAGTGTATATAAATAGGTATATAGATATATAAATAGAATATTATATTTGCATTTCAGGATCACCAGAAATGGCCTTCATCCATGCGCTGGCTGCAGCGACTGTGACCAGTTTTATAGCTCGCGCCTGTCGCGATGGCCAGTTGACTTCGTGCGGTTGTTCGCGGGGCTCGCGGCCCAAACAGCTGCACGACGACTGGACCTGGGGTGGCTGCGGCGACAATCTCGAGTATGCATACAAGTGAGTATGAATTTCATTGCATAGCCTATATGATTATAATCATGTCGATAGGATTATAGGCATAAAAGTTAGTATGGTTAATGTGAATGGCTATTATAACCTAGTTAGTTTTTGTGCCAATGTACGCAAGAGGCAGAAGTAGATATTCGGACATCATGAGATATATATGTATATATTCCTGATTTGGATAGTTATCAGAGTCAAGCTAGCCATGTCCGTCTGTTCTTAAGGCAGTCTCAAAAACTATAATATGCATAAAAATCGATAAGAATAAATACAGAAAACATAAAGTAATCATGAAATATTTCCTCTTCTTATATCGTTAGATTTGCAACAGATTTTATTGATGTACGTGAGAAGGAAACGCGTCGCGGCACTCGCGGTGCTGGCAACCCCGAGCGTCGTGGCACGCACCAGTCGCAACAAAAGCGCAAGCAAATTGAAACGAATGGTACAAAGGATGCTGGAAAGTCCGATTTTAATGTGACAGATCCAAAGACGACCAACAAAACTGCGGCAGAGAGTAACTCAACGACATCCGTTCTATATGAGGTGCAGCCCAAAGCCAACAACAAAATGAAAGATCAGCCGGTGGATAAAACACCAACAACACGTCCACCTTTGTCGTCGTCATCGCTTGCACCGCCCAAACAAGAATACGAAGCCGCAGACGCTGAGGGAGGTGGGGCAGAGTCGCGCATTAACCCTGATGATTTATTGGAGCTTCAGGAACGAATTACAAAAGAAATTCTGAATTCCAAATTAAAGGAAACAGAAATGCTTGAATTACAGGTAAGAAATGGGCTTGCTACACAAATTATTATTGCTATTAATAATGAATATACTTAATTTAAAACAGGAAAAAATTAATCGGGAAATTCTAAACTCGAAACTTTTCCTCGGAGAGGCGAACAGCAAGAGGCGTAAACGCAAGCGCAAAAACCAGCGTGCTGTTAGTGCAGATGCGCCCATGCTGCCCAACATTAACAATAAGGCTCGAAGTCTAATGAATTTACATAATAATGAAGCTGGCCGCAGGGTAAGTGTAGCATGTAGTTAGGGGGAATATTTTACTATGAATGGGTCTGGCCTCAGGGTTAGAGTAGAATGTCTTGAAAAGTCATGAAACGGGTTTGGAAAAAGTTATATAGTTACTGTTCTGTATTTGAATGCAGATCAGATCAGATGAGATCAGATGTGGGCATCAAGCAATCGAGATTGGTCAATAAAGAATTTATTTGAGTATATAATACGTTTCCCATTTATAAATCGTGCTTAATATTATACAATACTAATATATATTTTCTTCTCTCTTTCATTGAATTAGGCGGTGATTAAAAAAACACGCATTACTTGCAAATGCCACGGAGTCTCCGGGTCTTGCAGTTTGATTACGTGTTGGCAGCAGTTATCTTCCATAAGAGAAATTGGTAAGTTCAATATAAACGTAATAATATAATAAAGGGTTTTTATGATTAAAAATGAGTAAGGGAAGGCGAAGGCAAAAAATATATTCAGCCCTACTTATTTATTAAAAACCAAGAGTTGAATCCATTCAGCAATGCCAGTATTTGGCCTCGCTTTAGTTATTTTACTAAGTTTGGTTAAATACTTTTACTAATTTATTTTATTTTACAAACTTATTTTAGGTGATTATTTGCGTGAGAAATATGAAGAGGCTACAGAAGTGAAGCTGAATAAACGCGGACGTCTTCAGGTTAAAAACAGCGAATTTAAGGTTCCCACTGCACATGATTTAATTTATTTAGATGAGAGCCCCGACTGGTGCCGAACAAATCGTCTCTTGCAATGGTCAGGTAAGCAATCGATTATCATTTACAATTATATTATAGTATATTCAAATCTAATGGATTATTTTATTTTCCCTTTTTGTTTAGGCACGCACGGTCGCGTCTGCAATAAGTCGTCATCGGGTCTGGATGGTTGCGGTATACTCTGCTGTGGCCGAGGGTACAACACCAAAAATATTATTGTTCGTGAGCGCTGCAACTGCAAATTCCACTGGTGCTGCCAGGTTAAATGCGATGTATGTACAAAAGTACTCGAGGAGCACACTTGTAAATAGGTTTTACTATAGGCAGCACAGAAAATGTCCATATGATCACGATTCACATAAACATAAATTTAAACATATTTATATATATATATATATCGATTTAGAATATTATTTATTAAATTATATAAGTAACATGTCTGTTGCCTAATGGATTTTTTTCTTAGCCACTCAATTTATAATCAAGAAGGTTATACCATAAGGTTCGATTAGCGTATATATGTTGTACTGTATACACGAAAAAACTATAGATTAAACAAATTAGCAAGGTAAACAATTCGAAATTTTTATGATTATGAAAAAAAAAAAAAAAAAAAAAAAAAAAAAAAAAACATTAAATTGGAAAAATTTCAGGAACTGATTTTATTTTGAAATGATGCTGTATCCTTATTTGTGGCTTATTTTTGGATCTCTGTATATGTACATATGTATGTAGCTTAACATTTGAGATTATATTTTTATTATATACATACATATAATTTCGAAGCATTTTTAGCCAGTGTATTTCTATCAATATAGAATTGTCGCAATGGTATGTATATAGAACTGTGCTGAGCGAGCGGAGTTGAGCATGTGAAAGGCTAGAATCTTTCGTATTAACTAGATAACATCTCCTTTAGATCAGGCAAATGTCAAGCAGAGCGTCTTTTAGATAATTTGTAGACAAAGACAAATTGTTTTCATATATTATATGTATATCCCGGTAAGGTAGATTTTATTATTTGCAAGGTATACTTGTCTAGCATATAGATATTGTCACAAGAGCTTTCGGGCCCATCATAATTCAATGGGAAGCGAGGGCAATGGATCACTGGAAATGCGCTTTGTTCGCGGCGAAATCTGCGCATATCTCACACTCTCTCTATGAGGCAGGGCTGAGCAACTCTCGTAATTGTTGAATACTTGTGGTGAGGGCTGGGCGGGTGCATCGACTTGCGGTATTTTATCAAATGTTATATATGTCGGAATAACTTCGTAAACATTTTGATTTATATAGCTGTCGCTGCTGGCCACGCTCTCCATTGAGTTGCGCCGCGGTAAAAATGAGCAGAGCCTGTGTAAGTAGATATAATAGATATGGAAGCAAAGGAATTGTCATGAAATAATTGGCAAGCAAGCAACGACTTTAGGATACCCTGTACTGAAAGAGTAACACATTTCTTACCTATGTTGGCTGCATTGTGTCATAGACTTTTCCTTATAATGGAATTTCTGAGCTGCTTTTGAGCGGGGTAAGACGATTATTTCGTCCGAGTTATGTTTGGGCTTGACGATGCGTTTGCTGCCCTTTAGCCAACCTGGTTTCTTCTTCAACACCAAATACATGGACATAATGCCAATTAACATGAAAACAACGACGCCGAGCACCATTAAAGAAATACCCTGTAATAAATGGAAAATATTATTAGGTAAATGAAAAAGTAGTAGAGATTTAAGCTCTAGCAGATATATGATATATAAAATCAATCGATCGATCAATAATATATATAAATATTTAAGTTTTGCTTAATTCATTAAAAAGCCAAAGATAATACTATACTGAATATTTTCCTCCATTTTTTAATCATCCTGGTATTTAAAAATATTAATAAGGGATATAGGTAAATATAAAATATCATTTCTGATTCACTCACCTTGGCCAGCATCCTTTTTGGCGACCAGGAATTATAGTATGTATTCAGATTGCTTCCAACCTTCACGGACTTGCAGCTGAAAGGCGAGACGGTGTTGTGGCCATCCACGACCAGGCAGAAGGTGTACGCTGCATTTGGTGCGAGGTTTGTGACAATCGTTTGCATAGGAATGGTGAAATAGCAGCCCAGACCGAACTCATCTGGCAGCATCTCCATCATGTAGTATTCCTTCGTTGTCTTCGAGAACCAAAAGGCACCAACAGAGCTCTGACTGTCGCTCTGCTCCACGGTAATTTTCACAGTGACTCCGCCAAAGTATGTGGGAATGAAGTCTATTTGCGGCCATTTGACATTATTCGTGCTAGCCGAACACTTCATGGGCACGAGCTCGCTGGGATTAATAGTTGAGGCTGTTGAGATTGATGGCAGGAAGTTGTACTCGGTTGTTGTGGTTGGAGTAGGAGTAGTCCTCAAAGTTGTCGACTTGGAATTCGCCTCTGTCATTGTCTTAGTACTTGTCGTAGTCGTCGTCCTGGTAGTTTTAGTAGAAGTAGTTGTCCACAATAAAGTTGTTGTTGTTGTTGGTCTCGTGGTCGTCGTTGTTGTAATCATTGGCGGAGGTGCGGTATTACCAGAATCATCTTCACATATACGTTCATCGAATACCGTATAGTTTACAAACTTATCTGGCGAGGCACAAATTATATCATATTTGTAGTTTTGATGAACAAAGATCTCGTCCATTTCCTGCTTCAGTTGGCAATCGCAGTGCCAGTTATTGTTGTTAGCGTAAATTTTTAAATTAGTCGAAATCTTTTGTATACCGAATATTGTTTTTGATATTGTAATAAGTTTATTGTGTGATATGTCCAATAATTGCAAGTATTTCATGCCTGCATAGGGAAGAAAATGAGTTTATTAATGGAATAAAGGTTTGTTAAAAAGGTATTGCGAATTTTTTTTTTTGGTTGATGCAAAAGGAATCAGTTATGAATCAGTTAAAAACGTATTTTATTAATCCTCGAATAGAAAATTCGTAATACCATTAAAAATATCTCAAGGCATATAGAAAACAAAGTTTGGTTTTTACCTTGAAATATATAGCTGGGCAAATACAGGATATTCGAGTGGGACAGAATGAGTCGCTCGACCATGGTTAGTTTCTTGAACGTGTCTTCAAGTAGTTTATCGGCAAAGTTGTTGTGGCTGAAGTCTGCATGGACGAGGGCACCTAGATTGTGTCCAATGCCTGTTACATTGTGTATACAATCGATGCCAACCTCCAGCGTAAGGTACTCAATTTGGAATACCACATTGTCCAAGAAATCGGGATATATACTATCCAAATTCCCATTATGTTGAATGATTGTAATTTCCTTCAGATCTGATGAGATGTTGGTCAAAACTTCCTTATTTAATTGCTCCAGTTGAAGTTCCTCGAGCATGATATGATAGAATATGCCACCACCGAAGGCTCCGCTCTGAATGTATTTTATATTTGAGATGCCCAAATATATCATTTTGATCTTGTTAGTGTATGTGGACAAGAATCCGACTGGCAATAAATCATTAACAAATTCATAGTTGTACAGATACAACTCGTCAATGATATCACACGAAAGGTTCTAGAAAACAATTTGATTCGGCTGATATTATGGAAAGGTGATTAATGAGCTCCACTTACATTATTTGAATTCGATAAAGCTTCCGATATATCATCCGCAATATCTTCCTGCCGCCCGCTGGAGCAAATAAGTCTGCACTGAACTTGGATGCATCTTGGCGGCAAATAATCTATGATCTCCGAATGATCCAGAAAAAAACTGAAAGAAATATATAGATATATTAGATGTTATATTGAACGGATTATAATACACATAATAAAAGTATCAAAAAATATATTTAAAAAAAAATACAGTTATCATATTGTATTCCGATTATGCCTTGCTCTATAACAAATCCATCAATAGTTAATTACGCCGTTTCAACGGGTTTCACTTCTCATGATAAACGTTGCAAAAATCCATATAAAAAGTGCTTCCAATTTTGCGCATTTTTCGAACAGCATAAACAAAATACAATAAAATGTTATCAAAATAAATCTAGTTATATGTGCACGATGCGTGCCACATCATAAAATCATTTATCATTTTATCACATTTGAAGATTAGGGCACATAAGAGAGTCCTAGACTAACAAATACCCTGTTATAGGAATACATTATTATAAAACAATATTGTAAATCGTTTCTAGATTTCCGTTTTAGACTTTGATTATATCTTTTTTGCTCTTCTAAAGTGTAATGCTGCTCTATTCATGCAAATCCGAAAAGTATTCATATATATACGTATTTATAATTCTCATTCAAATAGATCTATCTATGGTAATTTCTGCAATGCTGAGGAATCGGATTAAGACACAACTAAATAAATAGAAAGTTTTCAATCAAATGTTATTTATGATTAATGCTCACATATTAGCATTACATAGGCCAATTGAACCAATTATATCCGCTATATACCCTATCCAATTGCTGCAGTGCATAAAATCAATCAATAATTCTGGTTATATAGATTATTATTATATTTTTATACGGTACCTGATATTTTGTAAAACTTCCTTGTACTTGTTGATTGTGTGATGTATATATAAATTACCATTTTTCGATTGCGGCTGCTGAATATAGTGAATTTCCTGGGCAAGTGTCGAGAAGTTAGCCCAGACATGGAATAGGTAGAATATGATCAAGGTTTTCGATTGACAGAGCCCCAGCATAAGCATAACAGAGAACTTGATGGATCGAGCTGAGATTGTTTCCTGTAGTATTTAGCCAAATATTGGGGCTATATGGCGACTCGAATAGAAAGGTATACGTTTTATTTGTATAGTGTTTCATGAGCAAGCTATTCGAACTAGTTTTAGTCGCGAGCGCCAATGGTTAACTGAATACTAAATACTCGATAATGCCAGCGCTAATGCCATAACAATATTCCTATCACATATTTAAGTAGTTCGTGTACTCCACGAGGCGATATCAGCTACAGGTGTATTGATTTTCTGATCCATTAATATGACAGCCGAATTGATAGCAAAATCACCCGTCTGGGTTTTACTGAGAAAACAAAACAGAAAAATCTAAACTAACATAGATACATAATGTACTCCACGAAGCTACCGAATTTGTTGTAGGTATTGTTCAGGTGTTTGGGTGATTCAATACATAGGCATAGTGAGAGCTGTTTCATTTTTTATTAACTAACTGAAGTTGTTGATACATATATAAAATTAATATTATAATTAATATAGAATTAATTATTATTATATACATTTTATATAAATATAACAAAATCATATTTAATTTACATAATTTCGATTTAAATCTTTAAGAAAACAGTTTCAATAACTTCGAGGATTGGAAAACGTTGGCACAGCAAATACATTTGAAGGCGTCAAGCCTAGAAACCTAGTTAACAAAAAGTTGACAAAATTCCAGATAGTTCTTGGCTCAAAAAATATATAGATAGCTATATAGAATATAAAATATATATGTTATACATATGTATATTTTCATATTTGAAATTTATTTTTATTTATATTTAAAAAATATTTTGATTTTTAAATATTATTTATACATTTATTTTGATATATTCATTTATATATATTTAAATATGTATATTTTCTGTATATATAAACATACTTTCATAATAGGTATGTATATGCATATATATATTTTTGAAATCCCTGCTAACTGTACCGCATTCAAATTTGTTTTGCAAACTTTTCACACGATAAGGGTTGCAGATCCATGGTTAGGGAATTTTTGGAATTGCGCTTGGGCAATGGTGGTGGCGTGTTGGGTCTGTCGACACCCTCACTAAGTTTACGGCTTTCATTGAATTTCATCGGCATCTCATATTCCATGGCCTGTGCATTACTAATGCTAGTGAAGCATTCATCAAAACATGTGGAGGACGAACTCACGCTGGCCGAGTTGGGTACCTTAATGTCACTTGGCTCGGTGAATACATCAGATGTCCTGCTTGAGTGAAGTAATATATAATATTATCAACATATTTCTTAGGCATGAATGTAGCAAACTTACTTTTCAGCGCCAGTTCGAAATGAGCACTTGTCCTTTTTGAACGAGGTTTTCATATATTTCGATTCGGTTATAGTTGAGACGAAACAAGTTTTATCCGATTCCTTGATGACGACAACATTCTTGGAGCCCTCTAGTAGATTGGGAAAGGACTTGATGCCCAGATAAGCAAATACAGCTCCGAATACAATCGACATGAAAAATATTAGGCAAAGCATTCCAATCGTAAACTGTTTATCGGTCTCAACCTCAATGACGTCATCCATTTCATTGTGAACAAGGGGCAGCGGGATATGCAGGGGCTGGCAGAAGAGCGGAGATACAACCACCTGGTTCTCCGCCATCATGCAAAAGGTGTAGGTGTGATTCTGCCTCAGCGGATCGGTAACCAAATAGGGATCTTCGTAGAGCATACAATTATAGTCCCTTGACGATGGTGTGGGATCGAAATATGTTTCGGTATTTTCGTGTTCGGTAAACCAGATAATGTTAAGTCTAGAGGATACATCATATCCATCTATCGAGGCGCGCACAGTGTAATTTTCCAATATTTCCAAATCTAGATCATAGGTGGGTGGTTCAAAAACAAAGTGTTCAAATGCCGAAAATTCGGAGTTTTTTGGACTATCATTAGTTACATATCGCTTCTGGCGATCTTCAATCGAATCCTCGCTCTCTGTTATAGCGATAGGCTTCGAGCAGCTGAACTGAAGTATCGCACCATAAGGAATTGTTGGTTTTGCCTCATTATTATTATTATTATCGTTTGATGCTTTGCCATCATAATCTGTTGGGGTCTGATCTATTGGGTCGGTAACCTTGTCAGTGTCATCGTCTGATGTATCACAGCCCAGTTCTTTGGTAGTGAGCTCATCAAAGTTTTTGCCATACAGTTTCAATGGCATGCGACAGTAGGGAGCACTTATAAAATAACTTTTCCTTTTGTTATAGAACTCGATCATAGACCGTAGCTGACAAGTGCAGTTCCAGTTATTCGGCTCGACATCGAATAGTCGTAGATTTTTACCCAGACCCAGCGAATCCGCATTGAAATGCGTCAACAAATTATGCTTCAGGTCGACTAAAATCAGCTTTTGTGCAATGTGCTCAAAGGCCGAATCTTCGATTGCCGTTATCTGACAGTATTTCAGATATAGATAGGTAACATTCGGAGTGGCGATGAAGATGTTCTTGGTCAGTGGGCCACTAAAGTTGTTGTAGCTCAAGTCCAGGTGCAGCAATTTGCCCAAATAGATATTCTCGAAAATATTCGAGCCACTCTTGAAATTGATGCCGCAATTCATTCTCAAGTGGGTCAACGTCAGCTGAACGGGCTGCAGCAGAGCCAACTGAATGTTGGGCACTTTGAAGTCGATCTCAAACTTCTTCAACGAGTAGAGGCCCAACAGGGCTCCATTGCTCACTTCATTCAGCTTCAGGTCCAGCCAAATCATGTGCAGCACCTTCGAAAACATTGGCGCATCGAATGCTCCGCTCTTGATCTTTGTCAATTCACTTTTGATCAGCGCTATACGCAGCACTGTCGCATTCGAATCAATCCAATTGTCGGCTATATAGTTCTGACTTTGATTCGTTACGATCAGCGAGGTAATCACTTCACATTCGCTTCCACTCATGACGGCAGCTGCATCGGCATAAAGATCTACATTTTGCGAGCACTCGATGCGACAGGTGTCCTCATAGCAGCCTCCGCCTTCTGGCCCACCTGTAATGAGTCTGTAAGTAGTAATTGTTTAATACTATTTTTAATTTATATAATTAATATATCATTTCACCCAAGGAGTTCAGCTGATGAATCTAGCTCATTGCTCTCTTCTATAAAACGACCCAAGGCAGCTTCCATGTTGTGGACATCTTCAGCCGGACTACACTCGCTTTTTAGCCGAAATACAATATATATAATTAACGCTATTATTAATAGCCCCATGCATAGAGTCAATAAAAGTCGCGATAATATTTTCGTGCTTAGATGTTCCACATTTTTGCGTTTTGATTTTTTGGAGCTGAAAGTAAAATTGTAATTTGAGGAAATCATGAAAATGAGAATGTATACAACTGTATATCTGGATGATTTATAATATATGGGTTCTTACTAAATCTGTAATTAATTCTATTAACTGTCATAAGTAAGTTTTATTCATTCAACTCCTATACATATTAATTTACAAGAATTAATTACATTCTTCAAAATTAAATTAGGTAGATCAAGATATATTTATAACTAATTGTTAAAGATTTACCGCAATGCATCGCAATCTGTGATGCTATTTTTATTCTCCATAGAATTTGGTTCCATCTGCGTTTTATTTAATTTAATTTATTTTTTTTTTTTGGCAAAGCAGCTAAAGAACTTTAACGCGGCTGTCAAGCCAAACCCAAACTGATTAATACAATATTGACAACACAGCATTTGCATTTGCCTTTCGGCTTATCGTTCACATAAACTAGATATATTAGTATATATGCATATGTATGGGTTGATAATGAAAATACTTATTCATATGACCAATCAATAATATTATTGTTTTGATAACAACAAATATTATATATAAGTATGTCTATTCTATATCAGCATAAATAATTTGTGACTGATTAACTAATTATTCTATATATAGTAGGTGTAAAGATGATTTTAATGTGGGTTTTTTTAGCACAGCGATTAGTTCTGGAAACTTGAAAAGTCAGAGTTCAAGTGGACTTTTAATATAATAATACTAAAGATTACACGAATATGCGCAGCTAGTACTTGGCAGTTTAGTAGAAAAATATATGAATACATCTCGAAAGTACTTTTTATTTTATTTTATTCATAACATTACAAATTACAAATAAATAAATACATTTCATTTAATAATAATAATAATAATAATAATAAATTAAAATTATAGAAATACGATTAGATCTTAGTAAAGTTCTTCATACACCTCAAAGGATTCATAGGTATATGTATTAGGAACTGTGGATATTTTGTTTTTATGCACGGATGGAGGTATGGATGGTGCACGTTCTATGGGTGGTACATTGTACTTATTCGATCCTCCTCGATAGAGTTGGGCTTCTTCTAAGTGTCGGTAGTAAGATGCATATTCGTGGATGCTGCCATTCGGATTGGCATAGCTATTCAAATTAAAGAGAAATGATATATTAAATATTGTAGCATACTTTGTGGGGCATATTTAGCCCAACTTACCGTATGGCATCGTAAGCCTCCTTTTCGTATTCTCTTGGCAGCAGAAGCATTGTATTTGACTGTGATGTCGGGCGCAGCAGCCGTTTGCTGCCCCAAAGCCAGCTCGGGCGCATCCTGAGAATGGCGTACACAGCGAGTACACCGAGAGCTACACTCAGTAGTATTCCAAAGATTGCTGAAATTATTATCGAAACACTGTTTCTCTCGAACCACAATCGCTGCCAGAGACAAGGCCTTGTGCGATGCGAACGGCAATTAAATGGAGAAGTCGTATTTATGTCTATAATCAGACAAAATACGTATGAAGTTCCGCAATTTAAGTCATTAATCTGTAGCATTTTCCTATTCAATTCATCAACTGAATTGCCATTATCAATCTGACGTTTATCCATGGTATTAGAAAAGTATACGATGCTCCAGACATGCGCCTTAAATTGAGACAAAATCACATTGACCGTACTCTCGGAATCATCCACAATTGTCATCTTTGCATTGTAGGCAATGGCATGGCTGCCGAGACTCTCCTTCTGGGCATTCACACAAACGATATCGTCATAGAGCAGAGAATTTTCATCGTTCTCTGATTCAGTTGTCACTGGTATATCCCATGGAGTGTTCGAGTCAGATGCTGTGTTCTGAGTCGTCTCAGTGATCCATGTGCTTGGTTCAGTTGTCGGTGGTTCTATTGTGGTTGGTGCTATTGTGGTTGGTGCTATTGTGGTTGCTTCGGTTGTAGTTGTGGTTGCTTCAGTTGTTGAACTAGTTGTTCTGACCGGAACTTGCTGCTTAGCTGGAGATTGCGTAGTTGTTGGCGTTGTTGTCCTGGCCGGAGCTTGTTGGTTAGTTGAAGATTGTGTGGTTCTTGACGTTGTTGTTGATACTATTATAGTTTCGTATGTCGATTGTATATCTTCAGTGGTGTCATATGAATCACCTAGAGTATTAGCATCACTAATCAATTCCCGTGTTTTTCTTACAGACTCGACGCAAGGCTTTATGTTTAAGAGCTCAAACAGATCCACATTGGCATAGCTACAATCCCAATTATTAGCCGCAAGATTAAGCTTTATACTACCATCTCTTGCAGCTAATATAAACTGAACACTCAACTCTGTTAGTTTGTTGCCACTCAAGTCCAGATATCGAAGTTCGTTACTCAGATCAAAGTGAATACTTCTCAATCGACAATTCGCCAAGTTAAGATGCTCTAGAGCTGGCATATGCTCAAAAGCCTGGTTTTCCACGATTTCTCCGATATTATTTCCGCTAAGATCTAAGACCTTTAAATGTTTATAAACTACTTGGCCAAAGAAATATGTAGGCTCATAGATTTTTCTCGTATAGGGCAGATTTATCTTTACGGATCGTAGACTGTGCGCCACGGGCAACAAAAGTCCTTTACATCTCAAAGATTTTCTCTTATTGATCAGTGTAAAGTTGGAGAGATGTAAGAGGCCTCGAAGTGTTTCATTCGTGAGTTTCTTCAGTTTGGTATTAATTAATTCCAGATTTTGTAGCTTGTGCAAACTTTTTTGATCAAAGGCGCCGTCAACTATGTGCCTCAGTCGACAATTGTTTAAGATTAGGCTCTGCAATGTATATTCGCCGTGAACTCTATTTCTCGTGATAACGCCATTTGGGAAATTAAAGTTCTCAAGGCGTAAAGTTATATGATCCCGGCAATCTGTTTTATTCATGGCATGGCTGAAAATTAGTTGAACTAAATTTTGATTGTAGATTGGCACAAAGTTTCCATGAGACGTTGCCCTTGACAAGGTCCTTGCACTGTCCTCATCAGGATCATATGAGAAATCTATATTGCAGATTATTAAAAGAATAACAAAGGCAATTGCAGCTGGCTGCATTATGTACTTCAGCCACTGGGCTTTCCGTGGTTGATAGAGATGTTCGCGTTGCTTTCCAGCTTCATCGTTTTTCAAATCAAATGATTTGGACTTAAACATTGTACTGAATATTAAATGCGATGCCGATTGCCGTCAACCTTTCAACTTGTCCACATGACACTAAACAAGATTCCCAATTGAATGGTTAATTTATCAAATTAGTCAAGCCTATTATCAGTGATGAGGCTTATTACGCATTATAATTATTATTATTCAAATCAGATTGATTAGATAACAGAATTGCCGGAGAGCATTTGTATAGATATGTATTGTAATACAGTATATTGATATGAAGTCAAGCACAGCATAATTAATGGTAATCAATACAATTAGCTTTAATTAGTCCTTATTAATTCAATACATAATAATCGCATTATATATATTCATATGAAAATTTTAGATTTGAATAAGTAGTCAAATTTAAACAAACGGACATTGAAGTCGATCGTAGACTTATTCGATAATTCAATATAATATTGTACAAAGAATAATCGATAGTTTAATACTAACATTTAAGTGATTCCACATTTTTACGATAATTTTATGCCCAGTGAGAAGCGCTAGTTCATATAATTCTATTGTTTTTTTTTAAAGGCAGAGCTTGCAAAACTGTAACATTTCATTTTTCTATGGCGATTATTTAGTATATATCGATTACAAAGCATTGGTATTTGCAACAAGAAACCATCTCCATTGTTTTCTTTGTTCTCTCATCTCTACTTTCGTCTACATTATTGCTAGAAATAGTCATAAAAACAAACAATTTGAGAAGCCGAACATATCGAATAACAAAGCAATTTATTTTAATTGAAAGTACGCTGAAAACTACGTTCTGAAGAATCTAGGCCCAACCGTCATATGTTCGGCTAACACACATAGACTCGAAGGTATGTATTTAATTGCAATTGTATATATGTTCATATGTATACATATGTCGAAATTGCAGACTATTTAAGATACACAATAAAATATACAAATAGGGGGTGAGCTTAAAAAAGATATCATTAATTTCAAAGTTCAAAAAATGTTGTCATTTAAAGTAAATTACATTTTCCTATGAACTATATGTCTATAAAGGCGGACGACTGAGCCGGCTCCTCACAGCACCAATTATCAATTATTGAAACCTTACATTTCTAAGATAAAATTAAATTATCTATCAATTTTTCTTATCCATATATTTCAGAGTAAAAATGCCTACAAATCAATGGCTACACGGCTATTTCTCAAAACTAAATCCGCTGGCCGAGAAGATAGCGTTTGATATGAGCGAAGTGATTTCTGCCTATGATCACGTTTGGCTAACCCTAACTCCAGCTGAGCAAGAAAATATCTTGAATGATACCATTATAAAACCGGAAATAACTATAAGATATTATAACAACTCGTTAAGCTCGAGTACACAATCGAGTACCCAATCTCGCAAAGACTCGGATCCTCGATCAAACAAGAAAAAGGCGACAAAAGGCCAGAAGAATTTAATATATGGATTCGATAGATTGAATCTATGTACATTTATTCAACAAAACGTCGGCCTAAAGATTCTCCATGACGAAAACATTGGCGACTATCGGGATGAGCATTCATTTCCATTTAGTTACAAAACCAAATCCCAAATGAATCTAAACGAACTTGGAATATGCAAAATTGTTTCAATAGCAAGTACACCGAAAAGGATCCCACCGCTTCAAGTAAAACCTATTCAAGAACCTAAAGCTCAGCCAGAGCTTAAAACAGAGCCGGAACCAGAACCAGAAGCAGAACGAGAAAGCGTTTATCAGAACCAAATAAAATCGCCATCAGGGAGGGAGGAGGAGGAGTCTAGGAATAGTAATATAAATAAGTGTACGGAGCCGATCAATTTGATTGCCGTTGAGAAGTTAAATCTACTATCGAATTTCGGATCTAAGAACACTTTGTTAAGCGTGTCAACTGATTCAAACGATTCCGAAAATGACACCAAAGATCAGCACTCCGAAAACAGTAAACTATTGCCAGAAAAAGTGCAAATGCCTAAAGGATTTGATTTCCTAAGTAACTGGTAGCCTAATCGAATTTTTGTATGCATTAACCGTAACTATACATATATCCTTACCTTTACAAAAAAAAAAAAAACAATTCAGTCTGAATTTATCATTAGATATTATCACACACCGTTTTTATAAAAGAAGCCATGTTTGGCATAATCTTATTAATAAATAAACACACACTGCTTTATAAAAATATATTTATATATAATAAATATATAACATCAACTTAAGAATACACATTTTTTCATAAACTCTTCTAGCAGATCTTTAAATACGAATTTTGTACCTAAATGAAAGCAGTTTAATATATTAAATATATGCATGATGTACAGTATTTTTTGTTTAAAGTATTGTATTTCGCTCCCGCTGTAAAGCTGAAAGCTTTGTAACTTCAATAAGCTCACACAATATTTTGAGTTTAAAACAATACAGCCACACTGACAATCAAAACCAAAAAATCGTTTTAATTTGATTTAACTAAATATTAAGAAATAAATTTTACAGGAAGCGTTAACATAAAGACACTAGACCAAGTAAATTACCCTAAATATATTATACGATGCCATCATGCTAAATAAAGTTTTTAATTAAATCATTTAAATAATAAAGGATGCTATAAATTTTGTTTGTTGCCCGCGAAATTTAAAATCAAATTATAGCTTTTGAACCCACATCAATGAAAAATATATTCAAAATTTAAGATGAAAATGTCCATCTGTGCTTGACAATGTTTTTATTATTGAATACAAAATCTAATTAGTTTTTGTTGCCGTCTGTTTCAGATCATTGAATAAATAGACAAATAGACAAAATATTCATTGCTAATTGAATTAGCTAGATGAGAGCGTACAATTATAGAATTTGGCAATGTTTCGCTATGAGGCCCACATTGCTACGAAAACCGCTAGATTATTGCCCCACAGCACGTGAGTGGAAACGTGTTCTACCGAAACAGAATGATTGCAATTGTATTTATTTTTAAACTACAACTAAAAATACATAGCAAACGCCGCCAAATGCTATAGCGCCGAACTATTCCAACCCCTTATATGCGAGATTATAATTGTTTTATGATGTTTGTCAAAGCGAATGTACACACATATGTAATAGGCTATTATAACATATTAATAAAACTATACTTTTATTTATTTTTGTGCTATTTTATAATAGAAATTTATAATATTTTTTTTATTATTATTCATAAGATTTTTTTCTATTTTCTATTTTGTTTTTTGTTTTTAAATATTTATATTTATATATTATTTTACTTTATCCTATTAATATATAATTAATATACTAATTAAAATTAAAAGACTAAATTTATGAAAATATTTACTTTTAATTTATCAATTATTTCATATTATTAATATATTAAAAATATAAAATTTTTATATTTTTATATAGCTATAGGTCTATTTAGTTCTAGTACAATAGCGGTACTACCAGATTCGAATTGTTGCCTTATAGTCGCTTGTGGCTGAAATCCAAACGATTCGCATATTCATAAAATGGACAGAGCTGGGTCACTTTTGCCAGAGAGAAAAACTACAATTTAAATAGAATTAGTCTAGTGGCTTGCTCTTGACCACAAAGTACTGAGAGGTGTATCTGTGTGTACATCCACTAATTAAATGGATTTATAGTTGTTTATCTTCAATGAGTTCATATATATATATTCATATACATACATATATCTACATTTGTATATATAGTATGTATGACAGCAAGTGTAGCATCAGCTTTACTCAGATCAATCATTCCCCAAGCATTTAGCATATTTAAAGAGCATTTAATTTTTAATTTATATTTTCACACATTTACGCATTTGTTAATTTTAGTTTTTTTGCTGTTATTTTTTTTTCTTTTTTTAAATAAATTGTAGAACATTTTCGCGCCCTTTTAACAGGCTGATTTATGTGGGTAGATTAGTTTTATGTTGTACAGCATAGGCTGTCTGTTGACAAATGGTTGAGATTTGTAACTTTTTGTATTGATGTATGTATGTATATGTGCATCTTAAGTATGTATGTATATATCTAATGAAAATAAAAGAATGAACGGGCTGATTCTTGTTGCCCATTGATCAATTGATTTCGAATTATTTTAGGTTTACACGTTGAAGTTTGTACACTACGTAGAGGATCAGTCTGTGATTAACTTAGTCAAATAGATAATAATGCAATAATATTTATGTAAATATGTAAATACTTCAGTGGAGGGAGGGAAGAACAAACTAAATGATGCTAAAGGGATGCCGTCAACTTTGGGATCAGATGAAAGTAAAAATTTGTATTTCCTGTAAATGAAAATCTGTCTTATGCAAAAATGACTGGATAACTGGATCACTGGATATTATAATAGCCTAACGTATCTACCTGCTTAAATATTTTTTTATATATTTATTGAGGTGCTGGCATTATGAATTATTGACTTGAAACATTTAATGGTACTCAAGCTCAAATATATTCTAAAGTTTACTTTAAATTAAAATAATATATATATATATATATATTTATATTTACAAAAAAATTAGTTTTGTCAGCCCTAAAATGTGGTATTTGAAGTTTAGGAACTTGTAATTCAAGCAATCTTACTTTGGATTTTCACAGCTTTCAAACTCCTCATACAGTTTATATAAATCTCAAGGACTTTTAACCGCTTTCAGCCTATGCAGGGTATCTGTTCGTCAGAGACACTCGACTATACCTCGCACTTACTTGCTTTGCGTTGCAGTCGCTTACGATCATTTCTTTGCCGTGACGATTTATAGTGGTTTTTCATCGTCGACGTCACAGAAAAACGCTTTCACGCCATTTTGCGCGCAGCGAAATCAATTCGGTTCTACTTACTTATGAATACGTGTGCATACGTATGTGGGAGTGTGCGTGTGTGTGTGTGTGTGCATGTACACATGTACATATCCATAAATATCCATACACATATACAGATGTCAGAGATACGCGAATGTGAATGTTGACGTGCATGTGTCGCTACGTGTGAGTCCGATTTATGAATGTTTCCGTTCGTGTGCCTCCATCATCGGTTTGACTTGGTCCAGTTAGTTCAGTTCTGTCATTTAGATCAAACACCAAAAGTTTCCGCGTTCCGAATTAATATTTTTCGCCAAGATAACATCAATTCTACCATTTTCGGACCGAGCATAAAAATAAATCCACTTAAAAATGGGTAACACAACGATGGTTAGTAAATATTAAAGCAATTTTTTCTAATGAGAATATAATACA